TAAAAATACTTGTTAGGGTACAGTGATAAAGAGTACAGGGATTCTTAACCAGGACTCCATCGATGGACTTCAGAGCTCTGTGAACCCCTGAAATTATATGAAATATATATGGATCATGTTTGACAAGAAGGAAACATGAATTCTGTTGGATGTAGTTTTTTAAAAATATTTTTAAAGTTCTTAAAGAAAATTTGGGCAGGATTTTAATAGCAGCTTTAGATGTGGTGTATTTGGGGAATGATAATATTCTAGATTATAACAACTTCTATGTGCTTATTAGGAATATGAACTAAAAGATTATCATCAGTTATAGCTCACATGGATTGGTCACTTGTACTGCGTACCAGATACTATTATAGGTATGGTTATAAGTACATGGTACATTATATCATTTAATCATTACAGCATCCCCATGAGGTGAGTTTTATGATGATCCTCATTTTGCAGATGAGAAACCAGGGCACAGAAAGGTTAGGTGACTTGCCCAGAGTCATATATTAATAAATGGCAGAGCTAAGACTCAAATCCAGTCTAATACAAAAATCAGTGGTCTTAATCACTATTCTGTACTATTTAAAACATGCTTTGAAAAATATCAAACACTCCATACGTCTATGAGTGCATTTTCCTTTCCTAAAGTGTAAGCAGAGTTCTGTAGTAACGCCTGATCAGGAGAGAGCAGTATGGGCTTCAGGTGCAAATAAGCTTGAATAATTTTGAAATGTCTTTCAACCAGCAATAATACTGATTTTTTTAACAGAGAAAAAAGTACAGTTATGTCTATATTATTAAGGTTTTTATTTTTGAGGAAGATTAGCCCTGAGCTAACATCCATGCTCATCTCCCTCTACTTTCTATGCGGGATGCCTGCTACAGCATGGCTTGATAAGCAGTGCATAGGTCCGCACCCGGGATCCGAACCAGTGAACCCTGGGCCGCTGAAGCTGAACATGCAAAGTTAAACCACTACGCCACTGGGCCGGCCCCTGAAATGTTTTTATTTCTGAGAGAAAAATAACTTATTGCTGGTACCACATACCCAGACCCTATATTAGGCCTTCGTTAATGCTGATTATTTTACGAGAACACTGACCCTTTTTTTGGTTTAAGTGATGAAAAATACATTAAAAGGAGTCATTTGATTTAGAGAAAGAATAATAGTACTTTAAGCAAGATAGTTTCTTCACATTTAGCTACTCATTTTTTAAAATAGGTTTTTCCTTTTAACAGTAATCTTAATAATTTTACCCACCTGCACTGTATTCTTTATTTATACAACAGGGTTTTGTTTCTTCTGTTTAGTGATTTTTAAAAAATTTAAATTTATAAAAAGCTGGATAGAAAGATTGTCATTTTGGTGCAAATGCTTGTGAAGGACCTCCTGTACACGAATGTGTATTTTGAGTTTTCTATTTTCCTAAAACAAAATAAGATGATTATATATAGCCATCTCAGATTACCATAATTTGGAGAAATGTTTAGAGTGATGCAGTTGTTCAATAGATGATACCATGTGGGTTGTTTTTAATCCTATTTGTGGCATAAAGAATGTTAAATAGAAACATCTCTGTATGTGAGACAATAGTTTTGAATGGAAAACTGTAAAATCTAATTATGAAAATACATAATTAAGCTAGGATTGGTTGACAAGTCAGTATGAATTCTGTTGCCATAGTATAGTTTTAAATTTTTTTAAGCAATTATAAGGTTAGTAGGAAATTGCTTGAGGAAAGTTATTAGTGGGCACCCTCCCCCAGCTCCCTTCAGCTGCTCCTTTGCCGTTTCCTATCTGGGTCTACAAAAATGAGGAAAGTTGCCCTATATAAAGAAATTCTTTTAAAAAAAAATGACTGTGTTACATTTAAGGACAACTTATTTCAGGAAAGTCAAGCAGGAAACCCCGAGCCATCACTAGCAAACAGTCTTCAAAGCCAGTCCAACATTTTAATTTGCTGATGACATGGATTTCTTGAGACGCTGATAACAGCAAGTGTTCCAAGCCTTAACCCCTTGTTAAACAAAACTTGTGAACGAATATTTACTTCATTTTTGTTGGAGGTGAAGTATGGCAGCTATTTAAAGAATGTGTGTGTGAATGTGTATGTGTGTGTTTGGAAACAAAGAGCCAGACTGAAATTAGAAGTGCTTAAAATAGAATTTAGTAACCCAATTTGGGATTTGGCTGGGATTCCCGAGGGATTATTATTCTCCTACACTTTGACAATGTGCTCTTTAACAAAGTGCAGGTGCTCACAGGTGGCCAGTGATGAGTAGACTCAGCATGAGAAACAGAGGAAAGAGTATCACCCCGAATGTTCACATAGGTATTAAATAAAAACTACTACGGTAAGAAGTTCAGTGCTTTACATAGATAGTAAACTATGCATATTATTTTATTTGTAACCCCACGTGTTAAAATGGGACACTGTTAAAGTAACAATCACTTAAAAAGCAACAACCAACAAACCAGTATTTAATTTGGTACTTAATAATTAAAAATAAAATGGAAGCAGTGCCTAAAGTAACTAAGCTAATTCACAATAAAAACCATTAATTCAGGCTCTCCTTATGGAAATATGGTAATTCAATATGGGCTAACCTAAAATGTACCTTTAGAGATAGAATAAGGGTATAAGTTAGCAAAGTATTGAATAAGATTTCAGGGAGCCCCTAAAATTATTTTTAAGAACTTTAGAACTGATTATATGCAAAAAAAAAAAAAAAAAAAAGAACTTTCTTTTAAGTTTATTCATACATGACCTTATTTGAAGCAATGTATTTGCATTCACTAGCAAAATTCACATCAGTAAGGTATTTTTGAAATATTTTATTTCCCAGATATTTCACTACTTTGAATTAGTCGTTCCAGTGATTAGTCTGAATTTCTACTGAAACCTAAGTCTTTAATGAAGACGTGCTTCTGAAAATAAGGCAATTTTTCTACAATCTGCTTATGAATAGAAAACAAATCTTTGGTTTTAGTTAAAGTGGCAGGAAGGATTTTGCAAAAAGAAATACTAAAAAACCAAAGCAATGAAAAGGCTCTTAATAAGCAATGGGAAACTCCAAACCCCATCAAGGTCAATAGAGTACCTAAGGCACCTCAGGTTCAGATGATACAATCATCTCTGCTTAGAGTTCTAATAATCTATATACAGGATTCTTACCATCTTAAGAATGTGAAGCCGAAAGATAATGTCCAACAATGATTACTGTGACCAAGAAAGAAAAGAATTGTAAGAATTGATAAATGGGAGAGAGATTGGAGATCATCTGTTCTACCTCCCATGTTTATGGATGAGGATCTGAGGCTCAATCAAGAAACAGGTGACACTAGAGTTTGTGTTTCCAGATTCCTAGGCCATTTCTCTTAGGGCAGGACAAAATCTAGATACTAACTTTCATTGGCTAGTAAACCAAGCATGAAGAGTTTCAGAGATGTGAATTTGAGAGAAAAAGAATCCCCATCAAATCCCCAAAGGCAAGTTGGAAATGTGTAATACTTTACTGTCTTAATTCCTTTATACCATGTGTTGGACAATTTAGCTAATATACTAACTGACTTATACAATTCCTTTCAATTCTATCTAAAAATAGCAGACCAAAATTAAATGAGAAAGTTACATAAGATTCCACTTGAGCACACATGAGGCCATGATTACTTCATGTGATCACCACTTCTTGGGAGAAGGAAGACATCCACTGTCCAGTTCAGAGAGGAAGCTCCTGACTAGTTATCCAGTAGACTCTCCACTCTTCAATGGGGAAGATGATGCTTACACTTTAAAAAATCTCTACAAAGCTCACATACAAGACAGTACATCCTAGATTTGTGACTGATATGAGCATTTAAGGCTGTCATTTTCAAGTATAAAAGTTTAGTGTTCCATTACCCAATCTGTGCAATAGACATAGGTATAAGCTCAAGTCATGGAAATTAACAGAAACTCACCAAAGACATAAAGAAATCATAATTTAGGCAACAGCAAGTTTAAATGTAGGAAAGGCTGGAAAAAAAATTATGGATTAGATTATGCTTCTCTGAACAGCATTAGTTTGTGCACAATGAAACTCTGTCTAACGCTATTGTTTGTTGCATGGCATTTGGAATAAGGCAGATCCACAGCAGACCAAACAAGGAAGCTTGAGTAGGTAATAGAACTAGTAATTAAGATGGTTCACCTCTAACATGGTTCTGTGGCCTGATCCCCCAGAGAAAGATTAGAAATGGCTCCAGTATACCAAATAAGCTTCACAGATGAACATGAAAATTTTTTTTAAAGCAAGGCCTTTCACCTAGGGACCAACATGCACTGCTTGTGGATGAAATTATATCAACATTATTTACTTCTGGCTTGATATAATATTGTGAAACGTAATATGGCTGGAGAAAATGGGTATTTGGAAGCCAGGATTTCGTTTAACTTACACCCTAGGTGTGTACTTAAGTTGTAGCTCTATAATTTCTGCTATGGTTCCAATATCTATATCTGAAAGGTGGCATCAGTTTTATTATGGAAGCAGTTGCTTTGTTATGAATTCCATAACATGCTTGAATTCTAGGTCTTTCTCTTTAACATAATTTAAAGTTTCTTATGGTTTGGTCAGCGTACACACTTCTCATTTCATTTGATATACAAGCCAATGTGGAAATTAAAAAACAAAATTACCAACTAGTTGAGAGAGCTAAACTGAGTCCAGGATTATGGCAAAGTCTGACCCAAAATTTTAATCAGTAACTTCAGCATGTATCTCATGCAGTTTGGGGAGCATCAAACTAAGTCTGCAGTCGCCAGAAGCCTTGTTACAGCTGAATGCACAGTAACTCAAACGTGTCCACTCTTAGTGTTCATGATAAACGCGGTTACGACCTTCGTACACTTTTGGCATTAAGAAAGCACATTAAGCTTTAATATAGAAATATTTAGGTTACACTTAACTTGTGCTCAAGTAATAATAAAATGTCTCTTCTTTTTTGATATCATACATTCTCTCCTCAGGTCTGGCCCATCTCCTGTACTCTTGGAGCGACCTTTGGCTATGTGGCTGGCCTTTTTATCTCACCACTCTGGATATACTGGAATAGAAAGCAACTTACATACAAGAACAATTAATTGGAGCAAAGGGAGAAGATACTTCTTTGTGCAGATTCCATAAAGACTGTGCAGAAATGTATACGGTCTAAGCCAGGCAGTTCCATTTACAGCACTGTTTTTTATGTAGTTACAACATGATGTGATTGTAGCTTTTTAAACTATGAAACCCCTGAGAGATTGTACCTTCTAGTTGAAATAAAGTATTTATATTAGATTGTGGCTTCAGATGCTTTTTGCTGCTTCTTGGACCTTTAAGAAACATTCTTAATGAACTTTATAGAATTCTGAGGACAGGGTTGGGTTTTTTTCCTTTCAAGTTTTAAACTGCTTCCTTATTTCTAAGAGGTCTGGGTATAGCTGTAGCATTTCATATGCTTTCTGACAGAAATGGACAGTTTCCTTGGCCACTGAAGATGTTTTCACGTAATCAAACAACAGTTTATACATCTCGATCCTATTCTTTTTTTTACTGTGTGTTTCTTTGGAGTTAAAATGGCTATGATAGCCTCATCAAAAACAGTCTTCAGTCCCTTCTGGGTTAAAGCTGAACATTCCACATAGCAGCACGCTCCTATCTGGGAGGGAGAAAAAAAAAGTCACAAATATATAAAATCTCTTTTATACAATTGGTATCACACAACCCACCTTTATAAGGAAAATTATAAGATATAGCTATGCAAAAAGAATGAAATCATCCATATTCATAATACCCAGAGATAGCTAACTTAAAATACTAGTGTATATCCTTCCAGACTTTTTCTATGAAAAATTCTTTCATTCATCAAATACTTACTGGGTACCTGCTATATGCCAAGCACTGTTTTAGGTGCTGGGGATAATGTCGATGAACTGAACAAAAGAGCCAAGTCTCTGCTGTGTGACGCTTACACTTGCTGAAGCTCTACTGGGGGAGAGAACACTGAGCAGATGGTGGTCCCTGCCATGAGAAAACGACAGCAGAGTGAGGGAGATGGGGCGTGCAGAGGACAGCGGTGGTGGTCAGGGAAGGCTGCTCAACGAGGTGAAGTTGAGCAGTGAGAGACACCTAGGGGCAGACAGAGCCACAGACGCAAAGACCCTGATGCAGCAGCATGTGTGGAGCGGTCAGGGCACGATAAAGAAGCCAGAGTGGCAGGAGAGAGCGAGCAAGGGGGAAAGGGCAAGAGACGAGGTCAGTGAGGTAGCCTCGAGGCCACTCTAAGGACTTTGGCTTCTACGTTGAGAGGGGACCTATTTGTTCATTCACTGAAAATTTACTGAGCACTCTTATTGCCAAATGCGAGAATACAGCAAGGAACAAAATTAAGTTCCTACCTTACTCTCCATAAAGCTTACATTTTAGAGGGAGAAGACCAAGAACTAATAAACACAGAGGTAGAATGTCAACAGGTAACATGTGGGAAGGGAGACAAGTAGGGAGTGGGGACAAGATCAGGCAAGGTCTCATTGAGAAAGTGATACTTGAGCAGACCTGAAAGGAGTAAAAGAACGAATCATGTCTACCTAGGGAAGAACATTCCAGGCAGAGGGGGCAGCAAAAGTACAAAGGCCCCAAGGTAGAGGACTTTGAGGAAACAGCAAGGAGGCTGCGTGCCTGGAGTACGATGAGTGGGGCGGAGAGGTAGCAGGGGCCTGTGGGCCACGGGAAAGACCGTGGCTTCTATTTACTCTGACTGAGCTGGGAGCCGCTGGAGGATTCTGAGCAGAGCGGCGGCCTGATGGAGCTTATATTTTAAAAGACTCCCTCCGGCTGCTGTATTGAGAACAGATGAACATGAGACACAGACAGAAGCAGAAAGGCAAGTTAGAAGCTGTTCCTGTAATCCAAGCCAGAGAGGGAGGGGGCCTGAGCCAGGCTGGCAGAGGAGGGGCTAGTGAGGAGTGGCTCGATTCTGGATATATTCTGAAGGTAGAACAATGCGTTTCTGCTGAAGGGTTGGCTGTATGGTATGAGAGAAAGAGCAAGATCAAGTGTGACTTAAAGGTTTTTGACTCGAGTAACTGGGAGGACAGGCTTGAAGTGTCAAATCAGGAATTCTGTTGTGGACATGTTAATTTTGAGATGCTTCGCCACCCAGATAGACTTGTTGCATGAACAGTTGGATGACCAAGTCTAGAGTTTATGAAAGAGGTCAAGCCTGGAGATAGAAATTTGGGAATCTTCAGTAGTAGATCGTTCAAACCATAAGACTGATAGAAGCTCACCTAAGCCTAGAGAGTTGTGTGTGGATATAGAGGAAAAGATGTCCAAGAAGATGATCCCTGGGCCCCCAACATTCACAGACAGGGAGATGAGGAGATGGAGGAGAGGCCAACAAGAGGGGAGAAGACCTGAGAGAGGGCGTTCAGGGACGCCAAGTGAGAGTGTTTCAAGGAGCCAGCTGTGCCAGATGCTGCTGACAGGTCTAGAAATGGGATCATATTGTTTTGCAACCACTTTTTTCCCTTAAACTATATAATAAAGATGAACATCTCAATAGATAAATTAGTATAAAGTCTTAATAGATGCAGGGGCTTTCTTTGCCATTATAAACAATGTAGCAACTTTGTGGCCATCTCTTAAAGCACATCCCTAATAATTTTCTTAGGATGAATTCCTACATATGGAATTCCTTGAACAAAAGTGTGCATGACTTCAAGCCTTTTGCATATTATCAAGATTACTTTTACTCAATGAGTAACAGTATAACAGAGTGCCCATTCCCGTATACCCCTGGAACAGTGGCTACTATAATTAGTTTCTCATTTTTTGGCCAATCTTATGGAAGGAAATTGAACTTAGATTTGACGACTAAGGAGTCTGAATATATTTCCTATTTTCAAAGGCAATCTGCATTTTTTGGTGAATTTGCAATTGATGTTCTTAGCCCATTTTTCTCTTGGGGTTATATGTTTTTTTCTGATTAATTCCTATGCAAGGGATTCCTGTATACTAAGGATATTAACCCATTTTTCTGCCATACATGTCAAGTTTGTTATATGACTTTTAATTTTATTTCCGGCAGTTGATGTGGTGTTAAATTTTTATATAGTTAAATCATCAGTATTTTCACTTATGACTTATACCTTTATGACATTTAGAAATTCCTTCTCTCCCAAGATTACAAAATTTAATACATGGAATTTCTAAAGTGATTTGTTAGTGGTGCCATTTATCTTTTGCTATAGGAAAAAAACTGTGCTCTCAAAAGTTTTCTTGCTTTCTTCTGCCTCCTAATAGTACATTTAAAAAGACCTTATTGGGTTCTGTTTCCACAAAAGTCCTATTAAAGTCACAACATCTAAAAAATAGGAATCCAATAATATTAGAGCCAAATGGAGAAAAAAGTAAGCCTAGCTTTGGGGTGAGGGAGAATATAAGTTAAAAGGTATTATGTGCACCACAGTTATATATTTTTTAGAATGCTAACATTTTCTATCTTTCATAAAAAGATTGGAAGAATATTCAACACAGTTCTTTTCAAACTTAGCTGTAATTTTTTGTTTTTAAATTCATATTTAAACTGTTATCCTATGCCACTCCACTACCTACCCCATGAGTCTTAAGTGAAGACAGAGCACCTGTTTTGACACAGGACAAATGGTTAAGTGATTGAGAAGGGCTTAAAGACCAGCACCTTCTTCTGATGCCTCTCATCAGCAGCATCCTGCTGGCAGTGCAGCAAGGTGTAAGAGCCTGGGCTCGGAGTCAGGCCTGACCGAAACCCAGCTCTGCCATTGACTACCTGCAGGACCTTACAAGTTACCTGACATCTCTAAGCCTCTGTTTTCTCTTCCGTAAAACAGGGGAACTAGTCAGACCACCTCAGTGAGTTGTGCAAGGATTAAATGCGATAATGCATGTACAGCACTCAGCACAGCGCCTGGCATACAGAAAAGGCATGACCAATGTTAGCTTCTGTTAGTACCTTGGCTACTTTTACATTTATTTTCAAATTCTGTAAGTGTTCCATTACCTCTTTTGCTAGTTTCTGTCCTTGTTCCACACATATAGGTTTTTCTTTCATATCATTCAGTCTTGCTAAAGTTTTGGGGTCGTCTCGGAGATCAATCTAATTAAGAAAGGTCAATAATGTCCCATAATATTATAAGTCTTTAAAGAGAAATCAGAGCATGTAGTCCCATTTAATCCCCACATATCAAAAAAAAAAGATTAAACAAAAGAACTTAACTTTTAAACCAACTAATATAATTGCTTTCTTTTGACACTACTTTTTCCAAAAAACGTGACAAAATTTATGTTAACTAACAACTGAGATGAAACACATATATCATTTGCTAAACCTTAGGACCATCTGTCTGAAAGGAACACCACACAAGATAAGCCAGAGATTATTCTTAAATGAGTAAAATCAAAGCAGACATACCTGAGTTCCTATTAGTAAAAAGGGTACATTTGGTGCGTATTCCTTAAGTTCTGGTACCCACTCCTCTTTCACATTTTGAAACGAGGCTGGATTTACCACAGAGAAGCATATAAGGAAGACGTCAGTCATTGGATAAGATAAAGGCCTCAGACGATCATAGTCTTCCTAAGGAAGAAACAAAAACTTCATTGTTTCTCTTTCCATTTCTATGGTTTACTAATAATATGTACATTAAATTACACGGTCAGAGAAGCAAAGTCAGGACTATTCGACAAATGGAATCTATGGCATTCTACATAAAACAAGATAATTCCATTTGTTTTTGTGTGTTCTTCCTTTTGAAGTTCTGTGCACCAGTGGGGTTAAAATATGAGACAATATCATTAACAACTACAATGCAACTTTGAGAAAATGCATTGTGATTATGAAAGCTGTCACTGGAAACATTTTTGCCTGAAACTTTGCACAGAGAATTGATTATAGCTAGTTGTTGTCTGAGTGTTATCATTTATAGTAACTAATATATACTGAGTGTTTCCTGTCTGTCAGTCACGTCCTGATCCATGTGTTCCCCCAGGTGTTACTTATTTAGTCCTCCTAACAATATATGACATAAGTAGCATTATCCCTGTCTTCCAATTGAATAAAGTGAGGCACAGAAGTTGACTAACTTGTGTTAGGATGTGTAGCCAGTAAACAAAGGAGATGGGATTCAAACCCTGGCAGTTTTATTCCAGAAGCTACACCTTCACCACTATACATCTTCACTGAGACCTGAAACCTTTGCTTTCCCTGTTTATATGGTTTTCTTAATTAACGTGTGTCTGAAAATTTAAAGATAGAAACATATAG